GCCAGGACAACGACGGGACGATCGCAGCAGTGCGTGCGCGATAAAATGAAGCTTGGCCCTGTGCACATGGAGTTCGGAGAAAGGGATTACAGACGTCAGACTCCAGGTCGCAGGCCCCACCGTTCCAACTCTACAAGGGGTTCGTCTGGAGCCCCTCGAAGCCTTTAGAATCGACCTTCTGTGGGGCCCCACGAAGCCATTGCACTCAAACCTCGCGAAGTCTCCAGCCCTTCAAAATCTCCTTGAGGGGCGTATTATGAAGGATTGTAGGGCTCTCCATCCCTTTAAAAACCCCTGAAGACGGGTTTGTTCCCCCTATGTGGAGGGTGGTAGAGCTCCCAACCGTAACAAAACTACACAAAAATGAGTTCGTTCCACCTAAACGACGGGTCCTAGAGCTGGCCAGCCCTCTCAAAACACCTTGAAAAGGAGTGTTCAAAACCCTCAAGGGGGGTTGGGTCCACCTAAACGAAGGATCACAGAGCTCGCCAACCATTCTGAACCACTCGGAGAGAGCTCGTTCCACCTATGTGACGGGTCGTAGAGCTCTCCAACCCGTCAAAACCACTCAAAAGAGTTTGTGTCAGCTCTCCGCGTCTTCAAAACCCATCAAGAAGAGTTAGTTCCAAATATATGACGGGTCGTAGAGCTTTCCCACCCTTCAAAACCCCTCAAAAGGAGGAGTTTGTTCCAGCTATATGAAAGAACCATTGCCGCGACTCATGTTAAGGGTCGTAAAGCTCTCGAACCTTGCAAAACACATCGACAAGAGTTTGTTGGAACTATATGACGGGTAGTAAAACTCTCCAACCCTCGCCACCGCATTCCTGTTTTAAAGTCTCCCAAAGCCCTTGTTGCATCCTATGATCCTTGCACACCGGCCCGAAGCATTGTTTTAAAACCGCGCGTTACTTTAAAATATTTTCGTCCTCATACTGGATACAAGACCCTCTGGGCCGAACAGCAGGCTCTAAGCTACCAAAAAGCCAAAAAACAATCAAAAGATGGTCTCGGGTCGTGGCCGTTATTTATCTACGGGTGCCCTTACTTAAAGGATCATGGGACTTAGTAACTGGGGTTATAAGGAAGGTGACTACAGTATAGTTACTTGTAACCCCAATTAAGGTACTTAGAACCCAATTTACTAAGTCCCATGATCCTCCAAGTAGTAGGATATTATATGGAAGAAATTGAATTGAGGCTTGGTGTTGTATCACAACGATGAAGTTCGAATTAGATTATAGCAAGTCGGTATCATAGCCACAGCAAGAATGCTCTACTGCTAGCCCCGACATTGGCCCGAGACCCGACAATTGCAACGGCCAGCCGGCGAAGACCTGCAATGCCCGGCCACCCCGATACCAAAGAAAAACGGATCCCAGAACTTGACCTCAGCGACATCCAAAACACCCTGGTCAATGTCCTGATATGCTGAGCAATATTCATTATAATCCTGCATGTAAGCATTTTACAAACAGCACAAAAAGCTGCGTTAGAACAGGCAAAGGTCCCGAGAGTACATGCTCGAGCTTTAGCTTTACTCATCCCGCAAGTAGGCCTCACCCCCGACCCACGCCGTCATCCACGCAGTAGGTTACAGCTTCCGCCATACAGTTTCGGCTGTACAGACGTCCCAAGCCCCCCGTTTCACCTCAACATCGGGTTGAAGGCTCCACACTCCAGGTCGCAGGGGACACCGTTTCACCTCCACAAAGAGTTGCTCTATCTTCGACCGTCTTGCGGACCTCCCTCGCCCGCCACCCCCCCTCCCCTCAACCACTATAGTCAAGAAACCCGTTACTCGAGAAGCGAAAACGGAGATTCGCGGCCATTGCCACGAGTTCGGCTCAAGCTCTGCTCCAATTTGAGCGCCTTCTGATTATTCTTCTGATTGTTGTGCCAGTGCCTTGGATATCAGACAGTAAACTCGAGCAGCGTAATAACGAACTTGCGAGGTCGCGCTGAATCTGCACAGTACGGATCTGCTGCAAAGGACACGGCCCAGCATAACGACGGCCGCGACCTTAGAACATGTACTGTCGCTCGGCTGAGAGCCCTAAACACGAATAGCTACAACAACAAAATCAGGTGCTAGAGATGGAGAGTACCAGAGAGCCAGAAGAAGAACCACGGGCTCGCTCGGATGCCAGCACCCCAGCACATGCTTCGGTCCTTTGCAATGTCTCCTAACTGCACGCGCAAAGGTCCCTCCTCTCGCCGAACCCGCTCCGGAGCCAGTGTGTACAGAAGGTTGGCGACCAGCGCTTCCTGGCGAGGCAAGCCTGTGCCGCGGCTCGAACCTCTGCTACTGGACCGACATGAAATGAGGTACGATCGCCTTGGGATGGACGTCTCCGGGGTCACCCCGGACAATGGGTCCGACTCCAGCAGGACTTTCTCGAAAGAGTACGCTGCGCGACAACACATCCCTCCCCCCCCACCTAAACACACCTTTACGCAAGAAGCGGCGTCGCATTGCCAGGACAACGACGGGACGATCGCAGCAGTGCGTGCGCGATAAAATGAAGCTTGGCCCTGTGCACATGGAGTTCGGAGAAAGGGATTACAGACGTCAGACTCCAGGTCGCAGGCCCCACCGTTCCAACTCTACAAGGGGTTCGTCTGGAGCCCCTCGAAGCCTTTAGAATCGACCTTCTGTGGGGCCCCACGAAGCCATTGCACTCAAACCTCGCGAAGTCTCCAGCCCTTCAAAATCTCCTTGAGGGGCGTATTATGAAGGATTGTAGGGCTCTCCATCCCTTTAAAAACCCCTGAAGACGGGTTTGTTCCCCCTATGTGGAGGGTGGTAGAGCTCCCAACCGTAACAAAACTACTCAGAAGGAGTTCGTTCCACCTAAACGACGGGTCCTAGAGCTGGCCAGCCCTCTCAAAACACCTTGAAAAGGAGTGTTCAAAACCCTCAAGGGCGGTTGGGTCCACCTAAACGAAGGATCACAGAGCTCGCCAACCATTCTGAACCACTCGGAGAGAGCTCGTTCCACCTATGTGACGGGTCGTAGAGCTCTCCAACCCGTCAAAACCACTCAAAAGAGTTTGTGTCAGCTCTCCGCGTCTTCAAAACCCATCAAGAAGAGTTAGTTCCAAATATATGACGGGTCGTAGAGCTTTCCCACCCTTCAAAACCCCTCAAAAGGAGGAGTTTGTTCCAGCTATATGAAAGAACCATTGCCGCGACTCATGTTAAGGGTCGTAAAGCTCTCGAACCTTGCAAAACACATCGACAAGAGTTTGTTGGAACTATATATGACGGGTAGTAAAACTCTCCAACCCTCGCCACCGCATTCCTGTTTTAAAGTCTCCCAAAGCCCTTGTTGCATCCTATGATCCTTGCACACCGGCCCGAAGCATTGTTTTAAAACCGCGCGTTACTTTAAAATATTTTCGTCCTCATACTGGATACAAGACCCTCTGGGCCGAACAGCAGGCTCTAAGCTACCAAAAAGCCAAAAAACAATCAAAAGATGGTCTCGGGTCGTGGCCGTTATTTATCTACGGGTGCCCTTACTTAAAGGATCATGGGACTTAGTAACTGGGGTTATAAGGAAGGTGACTACACTATAGTTACTTGTAACCCCAATTAAGGTACTTAGAACCCAATTTGCTAAGTCCCATGATCCTCCAAGTAGTAGGATATTAGATGGAAGAAATTGAATTGAGGCTTGGTGTTGTATCACAACGATGAAGTTCGAATTAGATTATAGCAAGTCGGTATCATAGCCACAGCAAGAATGCTCTACTGCTAGCCCCGACATTGGCCCGAGACCCGACAATTGCAACAGCCAGCCGGCGAAGACCTGCAATGCCCGGCGACCCCGATACCAAAGAAAAACGGATCCCAGAACTTGACCTCAGCGACATCCAAAACACCCTGGTCAATGTCCTGATATGCTGAGCAATATTCATTATAATCCTGCATGTAAGCATTTTACAAACAGCACAAAAAGCTGCGTTAGAACAGGCAAAGGGCCCGAGAGTACATGCTCGAGCTTTAGCTTTACACATCCCGCAAGTAGGCCTCACCCCCGACCCACGCCGTCATCCACGCAGTAGGTTACAGCTTCCGCCATACAGTTTCGGTTGTACAGACGTCCCAAGCCCCCCGTTTCACCTCAACATCGGGTTGAAGGCTCCACACTCCAGGTCGCAGGGGACACCGTTTCACCTCCACAAGGAGTTTCTCTATCTTCGACCGTCTTGCGGACCTCCCTCGCCCGCCACCCCCCCTCCCCTCAACCACTATAGTCAAGAAACCCGTTACTCGAGAAGCGAAAACGGAGATTCGCGGCCATTGCCACGAGTTCGGCTCAAGCTCTGCTCCAATTTGAGCGCCTTCTGATTATTCTTCTGATTGTTGTGCCAGTGCCTTGGATATCAGACAGTAAACTCGAGCAGCGTAATAACGAACTTGCGAGGTCGCGCTGAATCTGCACAGTACGGATCTGCTGCAAAGGACACGGCCCAGCATAACGACGGCCGCGACCTTAGAACATGTACTGTCGCTCGGCTGAGAGCCCTAAACACGAATAGCTACAACAACAAAATCAGGTGCTAGAGATGGAGAGTACCAGAGAGCCAGAAGAAGAACCACGGGCTCGCTCGGATGCCAGCACCCCAGCACATGCTTCGGTCCTTTGCAATGTCTCCTAACTGCACGCGCAAAGGTCCCTCCTCTCGCCGAACCCGCTCCGGAGCCAGTGTGTACAGAAGGTTGGCGACCAGCGCTTCCTGGCGAGGCAAGCCTGTGCCGCGGCTCGAACCTCTGCTACTGGACCGACATGAAATGAGGTACGATCGCCTTGGGATGGACGTCTCCGGGGTCACCCCGGACAATGGGTCCGACTCCAGCAGGACTTTCTCGAAAGAGTACGCTGCGCGGCAACACATCCCTCCCCCCCCACCTAAACACACCTTTACGCAAGAAGCGGCGTCGCATTGCCAGGACAACGACGGGACGATCGCAGCAGTGCGTGCGCGATAAAATGAAGCTTGGTGCCGCTTCTTCTTCTGCGGCGACTGGCCTTGGGCCTGGCGCTGGTGACACAGCTGGGCATCCTAGTCCTCCCAGCCGCGTCGTCGCGCCTCAGTTTCCTACTCGTGTCGGCTTTCTGGTCTTGGCCCCGATGACTGTGCCAGAGGCTGTTGAGCTCACGCTCCCGTTGCCTTGTACGGTTCTCAGGGCCTGTGACATGTTGGCTGAGGCTCGCAGGGAAGTCCTCTCGTCGACTTATGGACACCTCATCATAGCCGAGCCTCAGCCTGACGCGTCTTTCGCCACATTCCTTGCTGTCCCTACTTGGGCCACGGGCTGCTTAGCGATTGTGGTGGATTCCCGCTTAGTTGACGGACGCTTGTTTGCGACCACCATTGCTAGCGGGCTTTTGCCGGGGTCCTTCCTTGTGCAGTTGGGCCTCTCGCCTTCAGTTGGGCTGAGGGTATTCCACCGGCGGACTGTGCTGGATCCTGCCCAACATGTCATTTTGCCCAAAGGCGATACTGTGTTCATCCTGCCCCCTGGGGGCGTGCGCCCCCCGTCCCAGCTCTTACCCGACATGTTGCGCAGCACGGGTGGCTGGCGCGTACCTCTCGACCCGCCGCGAGGGTCTCTCCAGGTTCCGTTTTGCCTGCTGACTGATTCCCCTCCAGGGACTATGAGCCATGCTATGCTTGTTGAGGTGCCTGTCCATCTGATTGACACTGGTGATGACCTCCGTGCTTTTTTGGCGGGCTTTCTTCGAGGGGATCTGGAGAGCTTTTCCGTCTTTCGGCTGGCGCCTCGGGTGCGTGATCTGTGTTTGTTTGGACAGGCCTGCATTGATGTGCTTGTTGTCACAGAGCGCATCTCGCGGCTGCCATGCCCGCCCAGGCTGTGGTCTCCTCAACAGGTGCCTTATGTGCTCGACCTTCGCCCGATCCTTCGTGGTATTAGCTGGAGGTGTGCTGTTGGAGGTGAGCTGAGTTTAGATGCACTCATGGCTGAGTTTGGCCCCGCCCCCTCAGGCTTCTATCTTGAAGTCGGTGGGGGGGCGCCCTTTTCTGTGGGGGACCGCACATTCCTGCGTGTCGACCCAGGCCAGGTCTTGACACTGGAGTTTTTGCGATGATATGGGGTCTGCCGGGTCTTCGCCAGATGCGGGCGGTTCTGATGGGGATGGCAGCGATTCTGAGGACTCGAGTTCCGACGATGAGGCGCCTCCGCCACCTCCCCCGCCTGTTGGTGCAAGGAACCGCTCCCGCAGCCGCCCTTTCGATCGTGCCGGTCCAGCTCTTGGGCTACGTGGTGCTACCCTGGCACCCTTTGCTGCTTCTGCTCTCCTCCCCCCCGGTGCGGCTTGCCAGGCTGGAGGCTGGGGTACTTGTTGGCCGAGCCGATTGGATCCTGTCCCTCGCCTTTGGTGGGGGCTTGGCTGGAGTGTTGCCCTCGGTGCTCTGTTACTCTATGTCTGTAGCAGGCGTTACGGGATGTGTCGGAGTGCGCTTGCTCGTCTCGCCGCTACGTGTGTTACGGTTCTCGTCTCCTTGGTCGTTCTTGCTGACCACCCGTGGCATACGATTAGCGTTGACGGGCCAGCCGCGCCCCCACTCTTCTTGGCTGCCTGTGCTTGGGATGCCGCCGTCAGCGTCCTTTGCTCTGCACGGTTGCGTGCTGTGAGGGTTGCCAGTTCAATTCCTGCAGACGATGCTTCTGCGGAGCATGCCTCCCCTCCTGCCTCGGATAAGCTTCTCACTGAACCTAGATGCAGTAATGCTGGGCAGCGCAGGGAGCTTGATGCCTTGCGGCAGGCGGCCACCCTCCTGGGAGGGGAGTGGCCCTACATCCCAGCTGACTCTGATGATGGGTCCCTCCGGCCTGGCGTGCTGCATGATGGTGCTGGCTCGGAAGCTGAAGAAGAACTGGTCTGGGCCCTTTTCTCGGTTTTAGCTCCAGGGTATGCGCCAGACACCTGCACGGTGCGAATCAGCCTGCCGGCTACGTTCGCAGAGGCTATGGTACTGGTCCGCGAGGCCCGGGCAGCCCCTTGGGCTGCTGGATTCCCTCACCTTGTTGACGCTTCACCCCAGCCACTCGCGGGTCATGGGGTGCTCGTCTGCTGTCCGCACTGGAGAGGCGTCTCTCTTGTGGCGTGCATGGATCTCCTGCACCTGGACGGCCGCCTGTTCGCAGCGGACGTCCCACAGTATTGTGGCAGGTATGCGCTCTTCCGGCTTGCCCAGGTAGTCCCGTCCGATGACATCGAGGTTTTTGCCGGATATGACGATGTGCCACTAATAGACGGGGTTGAGATTCATATGTTCCCCGGTGAAACTGTCCGCTTCATTCGTCGTCCCGGACCCCAGCCGGCGGTGCTTTCTCTCACGCAGATGCTCTTGGATCCTGCACTGTGGCGCTCTGCAAGCCCTTTGCCTGTGGTTGCACCAGAGGGCCTTTACTGCGTTGTCACGGAAAGGGTTGCCGGCCGGTCCAGGTTGATCCTGCCTTTCCGCTTGCTTATCGCGAAGCCCTGGCCCGTGCTACTGGGGTTGCCCCTTCGCGCCTCCGGCTTTTTCCATCTGCCCCTTCTGTGGTAGACATGTGCATTGTCGGCTTTCGGTGCCGCACAGTGCTGGCGGCTGCCGAGGATGAGCGTCACCGTCACCCCGGGTCATGGTGCCTTGCGCTTTTAGATGGTCGCCAGATCTCGGAGGACTGGACCCCGCTTACTGTGCTTGATGGTCAGCTCTCAGGATGGGACCTCGTTGAGACCCTCCGCCAGCTTGCCCCTGCGGGTTGGCTCCCGAGCTTGAGCGTGGCTCCGGACGAGCACGGTTTGCTTCAGTTGGGGCCGGGACAGGTGCTGAGTCTTGACTACATCCAGGATGTTCCTGCCAGACTGGGCCCGTCGCCTTTTCCTGTCGCTCAGGCTGTCTACGCGGTAGCCTTGGGCCGGGCGCCGGATGCATCTGTTGAGGCGGTTGAGATGTATGAGGCTCCGGGCGGGCATGATACCCGAGCTGCCCCCTTTGCTGTCTATGTCCCTGATCGTCTCCCTTTCTGTGTTGAAGCCGAGCTGGCCTCTGGTGTAAGTGTTTTCGAAGCACTTGCTGCCGTTAACGCCTCTCGGAGCGCCCAGGAGCTGGCCCTCTTCCCGGGCCTTGTTCCTGTACAGCCTCAGCCCGACACCACGTGGGACCGTCCTGGCCGTTCCCTTGTGAGTGGCAGCCGCCCGGGGCCTTTGTCTTTGTTGATTGTCGACACCTGGATGATCGGGCTTTTTGTGCTCTTCTTCCGGCTGGTGCCGATAGGTCCACCATCCTCACGGCCGCTAAGGTGGACCCTGGGCTCAATGTGCTGGTGTATGTCCGTGACGCCCCGCACCCGCTCCAGCCCGGTTACACTGTTGCGCTTGCTAATGGGCACCAAATCAGCCTAGCCAGCCCTCAACACCCTGTCCTGGTCATCGCTTCCCTTGAGAACATGTTGCAGGATCTGGGGCCCTGGGTGGAGGAGCCCCTCCCCCCTGGCTGGTATGACGCTCGCACTTGGATACTTGGAGACTCCGAGGCTTTCGCGGTTGTTCCTGCTCGGCACCGACGCACTGACCTTCTTGCCGAAGTTGCTGCAACCCTTGGCTGTGAGAGCGAAGCCCTGCACCTGCAGCCTTGTGTCCCTAACTTGGTTGACCACTCTGACGTTGGTCGGATGTCGAGGGCGGTCGTCGTTGCCACTTTGCGGACCCAGCTCGGCCCTGCCTCGGTTGTCTTCATTCTTGATCTGCGCCCGCTTTTTCTTGGCTTGGTCGGGCGTTGCGCTGCGAATGGCCGGGTTGCCGGGTCCGACATTGCTCGCCGCTTCAGTGGGCTTTGTCCCATTGGCTTCCGGGTCTGTGTTACTGTCGGTCAGACTCGTGAGGGGTGTCCCTCCGATGCCTTTGAGGTCCGTGCAGGTCAGGTGTTAGCTGTTTCCCTCGTGCGTGCCTCGGGCGCCGCGGCAGCCGAGGCAGCCAGCATTCGTGACGTGCCTGTTGACAGTGCTTCGCCGGAAGGGGCTGGCGATGCTGCTGATCCTGAGTGGCCTGCCGGTGTTGCGCTTGCGCCTCCGAACACCGGGCCGCCTCCGTCCGGGGGTGGCTCTTCCCCAGAGAGGCGCGCTGCCAGGCAGGCTGGCTCTGCCCTCCCCGTTGCCGCTGTCCTTGGTGTCGTTTTCGGCGCAGGGGCTACCTTTGTTGCGCTTTCCTCTGCGCGCGGCGCTGGGCCGGTGCACCACTGCGGCGCCGGTTTGTTGGCCCTCCTGCTACTTAAGCCTCGGCGCTTCCCGCTCCTCCTCCTGCTCGCCTTCGGCGTGCTATTTGCGCTGACCCCAGTGGCGTCTGCCGGGAGGATTGTGGATGCAGGGGTTGGTGTACCTATGGATTCTAGGCCTCTATTCCCAATCCCTGTAGAGGTTTAGGTGGCTCGGTTGCGCCCCGGGATCCCAATGATGGTTCGCTGGTTACACTTCTGGAGCATGCTAGCCGTCGCTCTGACTGCACGGCCTTTGTGGATGCTAGGGCCCTCCTTGAGACTCTGCTCGAGCATTTCGGCTCTCGCGCTCCATCTCGGAAGCGACGTGGTCTTTCCGTGATTGGGCATTATTGCGGGGGGCCAGAGGTTGTTGCTCCTGACGCCGATGACGGGCCGGCTGAGCTCTCCTTGCAGCACTTGCTCTCGCCCGTGTGTGGGCGTGAGGTGCCCTGCTTTGACATTTCGCTGGGAATGTGTGTCACCCCTTTGACAGATGCCCTCTTCTCCGATCTGCATCGTTTTGTGCCCTTCTCGGCGTTCCAGCCTCTGCCGCACGACTTGCGGGCACCGGAGCGCTTCCAGCAATGGATCGCCTGTGGCACTGCTGGTGTGCTCCCGGCTGACACGCTGGCCATTTGTCTTACCTCTGATGGCTCCTTTAATCCGGCGACTGGAAAGGCTGGGTGGGGCCTTGTTGTTTCTGTCCTCACTCCGGGGAGCCCTTGCCCGCCAGGCCTGTTTGCTGGGTATGCCTGTGGCAGTACGGCAGAGATTTGGTCGCTTGGGAAGGGGAAGGCAACCTGTGATGATGTCAACGCATATGCCTCCGAGCTTGTTGGACTCTTGTGGGCCTCTGTGGCGGCATTTCAGTGTGCCTATAGCGGCCCTATCTACTTTCTCTGCGACAACCAGGCGGCCCTCGGTGCCGCTGCTGGAGATTGTGCTGCCCCTGCACATGGCGTTGCGGCAGCATGTGCCAGTCTGCACCAGGGTTTGCGCTTCCGACAGCAGGTTGTCCCTGTGTATTTGCAGGTTCCCGGACACGAGGGGGACTTTGCTAATGAGCTGGCTGACGCCCTCGCTTTGGCCGGTTCACAGCGGCAGGGGCGGAACCCCTTCAGTTTGGACTGGGATGTCTGGTTTGCGGCTTCAGGTGAGGCTTTCAGGTGGGTGCCGCACGTGTGCTGGGCCCGCAGATGCCCCGGCCAGGGTCCCAGCCTTTGCGATGGTGTCATGCGTTGGGCTGAGCATGAGCCCCCTGAGCTCCTCACCCCAGAGGAGACGATGTCTCCTTTCCTACGTGCGGTGCCTTCCGCTGCAGCTGCAGATGCGACTGTCACGGTTGATTTCTTGTGCCGCTTCGTTAGCTACAATGCCCTTTCGCTTGCTGCCCCTGGAAGCTCTGACTGCGGAGGGGCCTTTGGCTTCCATGGGAGCACTGGGCGTATATCTCTGTTGGATGGCGCCCTTGCCTCTCACAGCATCTATATGGCCGGAATTCAGGAGGCTCGGACTCCGGCTGGCACGGCCCGCTCCGCGAGTTTCCGCCGGTACAGCTCGGACTGTCATGAACAGCGGGCACTAGGAGTTGAGCTATGGGTTGCGACCACAGCCGGCTTCCCGGAGCATTCTGCCGTCGTCCTCCATGCGGACCCCACCCGCTTATGTGTCAGGGTCGCCTTTTCAGGGCTGAGCATTTGTGCCTTTGTTTTCCATGCTCCCCATTGTGGACACAGTCTTGGACTTAGGCGGGAGTGGTGGAGCACCGCCGCCGCGGTATGTTCCAGGGTTGGGTTCTCAGAGTTGTGGGTCTTCCTCTGTGACGCCAACTGTAGTGTGGGCGCGCTCACTAGCCGCCACATTGGTCCTTTGCATGCGGACCCCCTGGACGAAGTTGGTGAAATTTTCCACACCTTGCTCCGCCGGTGTGAGGTTTGGCTCCCTTCTACCTTTGACGGCAGCTTTACTGGCCACGGGGGCACCCTTGTCCAGAAACGATCTGGTGCTCTGGCCAGGAATGACTTCGTTGGCTTGCCCTGCAAGTGGTGCAACCTGGAGGTACAGGGCCGTGTCGAGGCCTCGATCTCGGCCGGGCATGTTGTTGTTGACCACTTTGCTGTGCTTGTTCAGGCCCATCGGAGGCCTCGGGCTGCCAAGATCGACTCCCAAGCCCTGCTAGACCCTGCCAACGCTGATAAGGTCAGTCGCATTCTGGCTGAGGTGCCCGATGTTCCCTGGGACATTAATGTGCACGATCATTCGGCGGTGCTGGTTGACTCCCTGTACCGGCAGCTGGCTTATGCTTTTCCTCTCTCAGCTCGTCGGTTGAGCAAGCATTACTTTTCGGCTGACACAGCCGCCGCACATGAGCGGACGTGTCGGCTGCGCCATGCGCTAAGATGGCGCATGGTTGCCTACAGTGGTGCTGTTGTGAGATGTGCCTTTGCGGCTTGGGCCGCCGGCACGGCCTTCGCGGACATCTTTCAAGGCCGCTGGCTGCACAATTTGCGTCTTTCTATTGCGTTATCTTCCTTTCGGCTGAGCGCTGCGGGGCGCGAGGTCCGGCGGGGATGCCGGCGGGACCGCCTCGCGTACTTTGAGGCTATTGCTGATGAGGCTGAGCGGGCTCCTCCTGGGAAGATCCACAAGGCCTTGGGTAAGGTCCTACGCCCCCAAAAGTACCGGCGTGGCGGCATGCAGCCTTTGCCCCGTCTGACTACCCCCGAGGGCAAACTCTGCGAGACGCCTGCCGCGGTGGCAGACGAGTGGCGCCGGCATTTTGCTGAGCTCGAGGGAGGCAGCGACATTTCTGTTGATGCCCTTGTCGCTGGATGTATTGAGCGTCAGCGGGCACAAGGGGCCATGTCTTCTGTTGCCCCCGCTGACATTCCTTCGTTCGGGGAGCTTGTCGCCGCGCTGCGACAGATGCAGCCTCACCGTGCAGGGGGGCCGGACATGCTCCCGCCGGCCCTTTGTGCGAGATTTGCGGTGCCAGTCGTGGCACTGCTTTGGCCCCTGCTCTTGAAAGGAGCGTTCTTCTCTACGGAGAGTATAGGGTTTAAAGGCGGCACGCTTCACCACATTGCGAAGGCCTCGTCCGGCGCCTCCACGCTTGCGTCGGCTCAGAGGGGAATCCTTCTTCAGCCTGTGCTGGGGAAGGCGCTACACCGTGCCTTCCGACGCTTGCCCGCGGAGCGGTTTGAGGAGTGTGCTGCACCTCTGCAGATCGGGGGAAGGCGGGGCCTGTCTTACGAGCTTGGCCACTTTATCACGCGGAATTTTTTGTCGGCTGCCCGACACCGCGGGGTTTCGGCCGCAATAGTCTTTTCGGACATTGCGGCGGCGTACTACTCGGTGCTCAGGGAGGTGATCATTGGCTCGCAGGCTGATCGAGCCCCACTTGCGCGTGTCGCAGCCACACTTCGTCTGTCAGACGGGGACTTCCAGGAGGTTATGGTGCTGGCTACGGAGCACCCCATCATCCGCCCGGAGGGCCCAGATTCTATGCTCCATGCACTTCTGGCAGAGATCCACAGTGATACGTGGTTTCATGCTGCGGAGGACGGGGTCCTGGTAAGGACGACCAGGGGAACCCGTCCTGGAAGTAGCATCGCAGACGTGGCCTTCGGGCTGCTCTTTCAGAAGGTCCTGGACCGCCTCCGAGCACGTCCCTGTCTTCAAGTGGACGGGTGCACGCGAGCTCACCCTTGCTTGCGACCTTGCCGACGCACCTTGCGAAGAGGCTGTTTGTGACGTGGTGTGCACGGACGACCACGCTGCGTGCCTCTTGTCTGCCACTGCCCCTGGCCTTGGCCGCGCGGTTGGGCGCGTGCTAGGCGCGTCCCTTGACGCTTTGTCGGCGCATGGGCTCTCCCCGAATTTTGGCCCTAAGAAGACGGCTGCAGCTTTGCTTGCTCATCGTGGTCGTGCCTCTCGTGGTGCGCGGGAGGAGATTTTCTCCCGGGACAAGGGGAAACTGTTGGTGATGCGTGAGCACCAACGCCCGGATTGGATTGACTGCGTGCCCTCTGACAAGCACCTCGGGTCGGTCCTCACATACAGTGGCACGATGCTCAATGATATAAAGGCTAGGGTAGGGCGTGCGCGTGCTGACTTCGCCGAGGGGCGACGGCTTGTGTTCTGCTGCCCTGGCCTGGCGCTGCGCAAACGTGTTGCCTTAATGCCACCAATATGTGCTTTCTGGACATTTCTGGACTCTTTGCTGGGGCCGGCACCTGGCCCCTGCTTGGGCAGGGGCCTTGGCATGCGTTGGACCATTGTTTGGTTTCCCTTCACCGGCAGATGCTGCGAATTCGAGTCGGCTCTGACCAGCACTGGACTCGTGACGCCGTGTTTGCGGAATGCGCCTCGCCTGACACAGTGGATTTGTTGTCGGCGGAACGCTTGCGATGCCTCTGTCGCCTTGTCCGCACTGGACCTCCGGCGGCCTGGGCTGTGTTGCAAAACAGCCCGGACGCGATTCTTGCCTTTAAGGCGGCTCTGGGGTGGTTCTATGACGCGGTTAATGCCACGTGCCCGCTTGGCCATTTCGAATCTGCCTGGCCTGTCTGGGTTTCTTCGATGCGGGATCGTGCCCGTTGCTGGAAAGGGTGGATTCGTCGTGCTCTTGCTTGGCATGTGGGTGTTCGCTGCCTTGGTGTTGCGTGGTACCGCTTTGTCCGCTCGGAGTGGGCTACACGGCCCTTGCCTGCATCGGACCCCACGGTGTCGGAGCACGGCTGTCTACAGTGTGGTCGCGCGTTTGACAATGCGCAATCATGGGCGTCGCATGCGCGTTTGAAACACGGATACCGGACTAAACAATTTCGTCTGGCCGTCGGGCTTCGTTGCCAAGCGTGTGGGGCAGTTTTCGCGTCTGTCCGCCGTCATCGGACGCATCTCGGTCTGTCACGTGTCTGTCTCCAGGCGGTCGATTCCGGCTATGAGGACCTCCTCCCTGTGCTCACGGGTGGTGAAGGCCATGTCCAGAGTAGGGCTCGGGCCGGACGTGGCACCTCTGGGCTGCCGCCCCTTGTCCCTGAGGTTGATGTTGATCTCCTCGCTCGCCTGCGCTCCCTCACCACCGCAACGGATGAGGTCATTTATGAGACGGTCCGTGAGTTTGTCGAGCCGTTTCCTGTCCTTCGGCAGACTCTGTGTATGTGGGCCTCCCAGCTTCCGTGGCCCGCTCAAGGAGGCTGCTGATGATGTTGTGCTTTGCTTTTCTGTGGAGCTGCTGTGCGCACCCAGTGCCTCTCCAGGAGATGTGCAGCATCATGCTCGTATTGATCCTGTTGTATTGCCTCTTCCGTGGTCCCCCCGCCCTGCGGGGTTAGCTGGGCTTGTCTGTGAGGGGTCCCTTGAGGCTGCTTTTCGAGCGACTGATGTGTCACCCGGGGGAGGTTGGCGCCGGTTTGGGTTTGGTCAGCCGCCACCGGCCTGTCTGGAGTTCGCCTGCGCCTTTGTGCGCATCCCGCCTCCACCTGCGATTGGACCCACCTTCTGGGCTGTCCCCTCGTGCTCTTTGCGTGCTTTGAAAAAGCACCAGAGTTGGCTTGGACTTTGCCTCACCTGGGTATCACTCGCTCTGCAGGTTGCCCGTCGCGGCCGCAGGAGCCACCTGGTCTTCGGCTTTTCTGCGAAAAATGCAGGTGCCTTTGAGGACTGGTTGTTGGCCTGTCGGTGCGTGGGCACGGGCTTGCCTGCTCTGTCATTTTGTTT